ATATATATATATATATAAAATTAATATATGTATATACATACATGTGCGTATCACTTAGCAGACGTTAATACGTATAATTAGCGATATAAAACGCATACAAAATGTTCTCCATTTATGAATCAAGTGCTTGTTATGGCACCGCGAATTTTTACGCTCCTTGGTAGATAGGAACGCGCTTCGCCGCGAAAGCGGCGAGTCCTTCGATTCTATCCTTCGTATTTACAAGCTTGCTGTAGCATTGTTCCTCGATCTCCATACCGTCTTCCTGAGAGACCTCCATACCTTTAGATATCGCTACTTTCGCCAATCTAAGTGACACATACAGCATAAGATTAAAAATTTTTATAAATAAATATTGTCAGTAAATGTGGAAATTATAAATAGAATACAAGTTTCAAACAAATACGTATACTCGCGCTCGATAAGCACAAGAAGATAAACGTACATGGTATGATGTGTATTATATAATACGTGAGTGATCGTATCAACGGTTCTGAGTAAGCAACTTTACGTTTAAATACCTGTTGCTTACAATAATAATAATTTACAGGTTGGCATTTTATATTATAAAAAAAATTTTTATTTGTTTTCTAATTATATTATTTTTTCTTTATTTTATTTTATTGTTCCTTTTATGTAATTAATATTTTCATTTTGTATTTTTATTTTACTTTATTTGTTCTCCTTATTTCTTTTTATAATTTATATTAATTTTGGAAATTCTTGTATTGGGTTAGAAAAAGTTTTTTTACAAGTTGATAAAAAAATCTTTCCTCATCAATATCTTCATTAAAAACGGCCAAAATTTAAATTTTAAAAAAGGGTTTTAAAGCCTAAAATCGCTACTTCCGAATGGTTACTATATTTTTTGAATTTATGTGAATTTGTAATTTTTATATAAGAATTTTTATATAAGAAAATTACGAGTTGAAAAAAATTAAAAATTTTCTTTTCACTTTGTTGGTCTATAACTTCCCCCAAAAATATTTGAGCAAATTTTTGACTATCTATCGTGAAAGCTTGAAACTTTCCCTACAAAATCGTTTTTTAAAAATGTTCCTACGATTTTTTGTTCCCGAGTTACTCGTAGATTAAGTAAAAAGGAACATTCTGACTTTATTGCTCGCAACTTAAAAATTATACGTTGATAATCATCGTATCGCAATTAAAAATACAGATTCTTAAAGCTGAAACGTTGCTCTATCAAGTGATGTAATCGCCAATTTTTAAAAAATAGAATATATGGATTGCTAAAAAAGTCTTTTATCAACTTGTAGAGGGACTTTTTTCTAACCCAATATTATACTGAATAATTATCAACAATTAATTAATATCAACGACTTACCTAACACCAATGGGGCCGTTGGGCAAAATTTCTCTCGCGATTGAAAGAGCCATTTGGTAAGCTGCATCGCCGACCTTATTTTGTGGAACTACTTCATTCACGAGACCGATTTGCAGCGCCTGCTCACCATCCAGAATCCGTGCAGTGTAGATCAATTCTTTAGCCTTGGCTGCTCCGATTATCCTCGGAAGTCTCTGCGTTCCGCCGGCGCCTGGGATTATGGCTAATTTAGTCTCGACGAGGCCCATCTTCGCTTCGGAAGAAGCTACCCTGATATCGGTGGCTAACGCGAGCTCCAATCCTCCACCCAATGCTGCACCATCGATGGCCGATATCACCGGCGTTGGCAGGGTCTCCACGTTGGTCATAAGCTCTCTCAGCGAGGACACGAATTGCAGCACTTCAGAATTGTCCATTTTAAATCTCTCTCGCAGGTCTGCCCCAGCGCAAAATACTTTTGGGACCAGGCTGCGTATTATCAGCACTCTCGGCTTGTTGTTTTGCCTAATAGAGGCCAGCGCTTCGTTCAACTGAGAAATTAGGGTCTTTCCGAAAGAGTTACGAGCGGCAGACCTGTTTAATCCTAATACAGCAATACCGTTGTCTTTGCCATCCAAGTAACTGACGATCACTTCTTTCGCCTCGTCCTTAGGACTTGGCATCGCGCTCGTAGCCAATGTCCTTGCGGTACAGGCGCAGAAATGATAAAGAGAGCTCGTAGCTCTGACGCTTGCCACTAACGAAACCATTTTGCAAGAAGCGAAAAGTTAAAATGTATTTTCTTGAAAATGTGTATCTGGAAAAAAAATTGCATCCTCGATAAGATATTTGTATCTTATCGAAATTGAATTATCTCTCTTTAATCTCTCATTCTGCATCATCTATTAAATTATATATATAAAATAGCTTACAATTTTTTACATAATATTTACATTATTTACATAGTAGTTAAGTGAATGTAATAATCTACCGAGAGTCTACTTACTTGAATGTGCAACTGACCGGTTTCTCGACTCTCGTACGGCGCCGTAGCACGTAGACGCGAAAAAATTATGACGTCGTTATCCTTGATCCTATTTCAGGATTACGATGCGGCAGCAACAGGAGCATCGAAGCGCGCGGGCGCGCACGCGGAATCGCACGTACATGCGTGTATGATCGTGCAGAATTTTGTTTTCGACCGCCGTGATATTTCAATTTCCGCAGACGGATCGTGGAGAAGTGCCGCAGCTCGTTCCGTTCTACGCCGCGGCTCTTTGGACTTTACGGACCTCGGTCACAGTCACAGCGGTTGTACGGACTACGGTATTGCAACAGCGGCGGTGACCAGAGGCACCAAAAGTGGTAGGGATGGACCGAGGAAAGAGATCAAGCGAGACGCGGCGCGGGGGACGAGCCGCGCGATAATCCCTCCACATCTGAGAACAACCGCGTCCAAGTCGCGGCCACGACTGTTTGCTCTTCACCGACGCAAAGCAAACAAAAGCAACATCAACATTTGCACGTGTCAGTGCCGGATCCATCGCGCGTGCGCAAAGTGCGCGTTCCCCGACAGAATGCCTAATTCGAATGAAAGAGGGTGCTACTTGATCCTCTCTGGCGTCTGGCGACTGGCGGTCGCTTTATTTTCGTTTCTTTTTTCTTCGCAGAAATGATTGATCCACATAGCAATTTAATTGGGCTTACAATTTTATATTTTTAGCGATCCCAAGGATTCGAGCTCAACACATTGCGGATACTTGCAATACATTTAGATATACGTCATGCGCACATTTCCTAGTAGCAATTTATTAGCTACCCAAATAATTTAACATTTCGTGCAAAAGTAAAGCAGGGTAATTTATTTGCTGATACTTGTTGTAATGTTGCCATGTTAATGGCAAAAGCATTTGCTAAATAAAATTTGACTTGCATAGTTGCCATAATTTTGTTAAATTTTTTATGATAAGCAAAATTGCTTCAATTTTGCAGAAATATTGCCATAATCTAATAGCGTTTTCGGCCCGGCTAGGTTTGCACCAACCCGGGTTGGATTAATGGCGTTTTGTACTCTCCTATTGGTAGAGCAGGTGATGTCAACCAATAGGAAAGATTAATCCAACCCAGGTTGGTGCAAACCCGATCGGACCGAAAACGCTATAACACTTTTACCACAATTGTTGCCGCAAAGTTACTGTAGTTACTCTACTACGGTTTGTGTGTTTCTTTACTTGCAATATTGCATCAAATGAGGACTCACCTTGTTGGCAAATTGCTTGCAACATTTTTAAGCAAATTTTCAACAAAATGCTGGCAAAAATAGTTGAACATTAGGAATATACAAGGTGTTTGGAAAACAATGATAAATCTTTCGCATAGGGGCAGAATGGACTAAACTGAGAAGATCCTTTACCATTTTGCAATTTTCGCGATAGTTAACAAAATATTAATTGCAAAATGTTGCCGAAAATCAATCTTCAATAATTGTTTACTCAAATACTATCAATTTTACAAAAAAATTGCAAGTGACGAAAATTGTTAATTTTCTTATCATAAAATTAACTCTACGAATTTTTTCAAAATTTTTTATCAACTTTTTAGTACTGCATTTTCTCATTTTTACAACATGAGAAAATACGCTATTAAAAAATTCTGAAAAAATTCTAAAAAAATTTTTAGAGCTCTATAAGAAGAAAATAAACAATTTTTGTCTCTTGCAGTTTTTCTGTAAAGTTGATAGTATTCGAGTAAAAAATTATTAAAAAGACCAATTTTCGGCAATTTTTAACAATTAATATCTTGTTAACTATTGCGAAAATTGCAAAATGGTAGAGGACTTTTCTTCTCAGTTTAGTTCATTCTACCCCTATGCGAAAGATTTATCATTATTTTCCAAACACCCTGTATGCAATGGATCACTACTATTTTTTTATATTGTGCTTAAGAATTGTTATGACTATCGCAGAGCAATAAATGTTCGTACGAAAGCAAGATATGTGTATAACATCAATATAAGAATAAGATCCATATATTTTTAACGGACCCAAATAACGCAAAAGCTAAGTTTATTTTTATTTACTTCTTAAGTAAAAAAGAGTTTTTTTTTGTAAATTATGTAAAAGGAAAATCTCTCTTGGAAAATCGTAAAGAGTGTTACTGTGACTATTCTTGTACGCAATTAATTCACAATCAGTATATATGTGGTATTTACTTGAGAGAGAGTCATTTAAAGCGCGGTTTTTATATATTGATATTATCGCGCGGTAATTTTTCGTTGTTACATTCGAAGAATACAATTGACGGAAATATAAATTCTCGGTGACAAATTAATTATGTAATGATACTAAACAAGACTATAATCGACCCATATAGCGAAACTATAGATAAATTACAAGCAGGGCCGCGAATCGTATCTACAGAATGTATCGCCGTAATACATTCTGAGAAAAACATTTGTATGTGTAAATCTGTTTATTTCTAGCAGCGACAACGCAGCCGCACTAACTTAACAGGAATTTTATTGATACGAAAGAAATTTCTTCTACTATTATAAGTAGAGTCGCGTATATTATTAGAAAAGAATTAGTGACCTTGAGTAAAGTAAAAAATAAGTCTATTTTTAACATTTAAACAAAGTCATGAATGCAGGAATAAAAATAATATCATCGCGATGTCAACACAAATAATAAATGCGTTTTTCGTATTGCAATATTTGCATGTAATGAGTGCAACCTTATTATAATGAGGACTGATGTGATGAAATTTCCCTTATAATGGAAGTTGAGAAATCTTCCATCGCGATGTAATGCATATCATTACATTGCTAATTTAATATGCGTTGACACATCGATAAACGCGCTTAATTTAAAGATTATTTGACTTTATTTATTTGTATACAAAGCACATATCTTACCTGAAACGCACGTATACTACAAAGTATTTCTTATTTTATGTATGTGTGTATATATAATTACAAATTAATTGAATATCTTTGTATTTTTAAATGCACGTTTAAAATATTCCCCACATAAATTTGCATAATCTATAATTAATATTAATATATACTGATATTAATAAATAATATTAAGTCACAGTAAAAATTAAATAACTTTAAATTAAGCATTATTAATGTATTAATATATCAAATCAGTAATGTAAACGATATACATTAATATTAATATATGTATATTAATTTAAAATTAATGTAAATGCAACGAAATTACGAAATCTTTTTTTACTTGCAAAGTAGTAGGGAACTAAAAAATCAAGGAATAAGAATTAACACATAAAGTAAACATACTTTTGGTATATAATATACATTCTCTGTATTCTAATATTCTGGCAATAAATTTCTGTTTACATTTATCTAAACAGAACGTCCTATCTCATATAATAGCTTGCATCTATGCTTGTGTGTGTTTCGATATTTAACCGCATTCCTAAAATACATAAATATATCAGACTTTCTGAAGATAAATTACAAACTATATGACAAATAAATAAATAAATAATAAATAAAGTACGGCCAAAATTTGTCCAACGTGAAACCTATATAATATAGGATATTCCTCTTCTGCCGCATTAATCATTTCTGAATCCTTTTAGAATCGATTTTTCCTTAACAAAAATATTCGAGAGAAATGTCGTTAATTTTTTTATCTTTAACATAAAACACGTAGAATCAATTAAAATACATTAATCGAATATAATTTTGTCATGTTTTTTACAGTTTATCAAAAGCTTCTTATTCTTAATTGTTACTTGAGAAATTATTGAGATGCCTCGATATTTTTCTCTTGAGGAAAAATTAATTCCATATTGACTGAGCGATCTGTCAAAAAAAGTAACGTAGTGCAAGTGGGACACCATGCATGCGTTTTCAACGTTACTTTCCCTCGCAAGTATGTAAAAAAAATGATGTATTAATATGATTAAGAAATCTGTCGAAGTCATATCGCGCAGCTTTCGCGACTCGGCAAATGTATACTCCGTAAAAGGCGACACGCATCACATTGCATTCGATCTTCAATGAGGATTCCTCGTGGATCAATTCTCACTTCGATTAGTGGTTACCGATGGTTTCAGTTGGACCAAGAAGCGGCAGGAGTATGTAGTTTAAGCTGCTGGTGAAACAGGCGGCGGTCGAAGCATTGACCTGGTGGCCGAGGAAAGTTTCTGCGACACCAAATGCGCGATATGCGACGATCTCTTCCACACAAACTCCCGCGTTCGGTCATGATCGTCTTGGCTTTCCACTCGAACCTGATTTTAAAAAAAAAAAGAAAGAAATAAGTATTCGGTTTATTGAACACAAACATGAATACAAACTAAGCTTTAAGCAAACGGAGTAGTCGCTATTTATTTCTGTTCTATAACTGTTTCATTATGTCAATCTTCGTTTCAAATCTGAGATAGAATTTCACGTCGAGTTGTAACACAATCGTAATATTGATATACATTAAATTAATAAATTACAAAAACAATATAATTTAGGAAAATTGAATTTCTCTCTTCAAAAAATATTTATCTGCTATTCGAAATACAGTGAGGGCAAAAAGTATTTATACAATTATTATAAATACATTCTAATATAAACCAAAGAGAGAGAAATTTCTATATTTTTAGATTTTTAATATATTCTATAAAAACTTCTTAAATTTGCATGAATAATTTAGTATTTAATTGTAACTTAGAACATCAATTATGTATTAATAAAAATAATCAATAAAATCAAGAGGAATCAAGAAAGAAGTTTTAAGGAATTTAGCCAGTATGATCGAACATATGACACAAAATCATCTGCTTATTGACTTGACATTCCAGTTCCGTGATATTCACGCGTTACTATAACTGTTTTTCTCCTCTGTCGACGTACCTGTTTAGGTTGCAAAACTCGAATAGAATGCAGCGTCGCCGCACCGCCGTGCACACGGAGGCTCAACTTGCCAGACATCTCGGCTGTAGTAGCGGTCGCGCTCCTCAGCTCTTTTTTCGCGGCCCTACCAAACTCTTTCTCGACCTTCAGCACCAGCGGTCCCAGGCTGAACTTGGTCTTAATTGTCGTGTGATCGCTCATTATATTCACCGATACGTCGCCCGTCCTCTGCAAGGAGGCCAATCCATATAGAGTGGCTCTCGCTTTTGGTTTGCTCTTAGACTTGGTCTAAAAATCACAAGAAAAAAAACTCATTGTATATACTTATTTTTGTTTATGTCGAACAATTGTTAAAGCTATCTAGATTCAAATCCAGATTTTTAATTACCTTGTTCTTGTTGCTGCTTTGATTTTTCGTCCTATTCTTCGTTCGTTTGCGATTCTTGTTAGGGTTCTTGTTGTTCTTATTGGTCGTACGTCTATTATTAGATCTCATTTCTGCAGGAGATTCCAATGAAATCGGTTCTTTTTCCGTTTTTTCGTTTGTTTGCGTTACAGATTCAATGGTCTGTGTGACTTTCTATAAATATATGGAGAGAGACATGATTTTTCAATAAACTTAATTTTTATTTTTAATAAAATTCCAAAATTCCATCAGTTATTTTATTCTTTTAAGTTTCTAAATAAAGTTTTGTGTGTGTGATATTTAATTAGATTCCTTAAAAATTGGTGAAATTTTTCATTTTTAGCAAACTATTAATGTCTCGATATTAACATTAAAATTCGATATTATAAATTCAGTATTATAATTTATATTGTTTTGCAATATAAATTAAATTTGAATCACACACACACACGCGCGCGCGCGCGCGCATGAGCATACATCGGAAAAAAATGCTCAGAATCATACCTCGATATTATTTTCATTGTCACTCTTTTCAGGGACAGCGGACGTGTCGATCGGCCTTGAGGCGCTCTTCTTGGTACCGTTCTTGGTGCCCTTTTTCTTAGTCTTGTTTTTGTTCTTCTTGGAGCTTGAATTTGAATTCGTTAATTTCACAGTCACCGGTTCATAATTGGCCCGCAGAATATTGTTGATCTTGTCGAGAATATTGTCGACCAATCGATTATATTTTGCTACATGCGTTGACACGTGACCACTCGAATCGGAGTCCATGGCACCTAGATCGTTGATAGAAATTGCATCAATCAATTTCTATACTTTTCCGGATATTCTTTGCGAAAGTTCATATGGAAATGCTATCTTTAACATTAGAACGGATATTTGCATTCTGAAATTATTCATATTGCTACACTTTATCACACATAAAGTATGTATTATTTTTTTATTTAAAATAATTAACTATTTTAAATCCTGCAAGTCTTTGACTAATTGGTGGTTATAATCAGATGACTCTCTCTGATTATGGATCAGTAAATTTTATATACATATTGTAACAGACGCTGCTGTTGTATGTGAATGTATTACGACCATTAATTTTATAATTAAAAAAATTTTGTGCTACACCATCACCGCTATCAGCCTAAGCATTATCACTTGGTAATCTTTACTCTTCTTCAAAAGCCATCAGTTTACAAATGGCGAACCCTAATCAAAATCGCCCGTTATGAATCCGAAGATCGAGGGATTCTATAAAAATGTCCGATTCGGGGTAAACAGAAAGGAAGAAAGAGTAGCTTTAGGAATGCGCCCCGATTGCGTCCTTGAGATCACTTTTCGTGAGGTCATTTCGTCTCGTCCGGGTCATCGACCAGGGTGGGACCGTGCCCGACGTTGCCTTCCGGAGCTCGGCGTACCGTCTCTGGGTTTTAATGAAGGGAAACGCATTCCTCTCCCCTCTGGTTACCTTGGAAGGAAGTCGGCGTTTGCTTGATCGAGGAGGAGCCTACTTATTTAAAGCGACGACACAATGTTAACGGTATATCGGAATCCTTCGGCGCGGCCAAACTGGTCCCCGATCTAGGCCATGACCTCCTTTTTCGCTATACCTCATAACTCACCTACAGACCTATCTAGCCGCACAGGTCCATCCAACTGCTGCCTACCTAAAAACTCTCCCCCGGTCGTTGCACCTCCTGCAGCACGTAAGCACGACTTTCTTTCGGACGTCACGACGCCGTGCCACGCCGCGATGAAAATCTCATGCCACGGGCAATATTATCAAGGCCGTCTACTTCTGGCACAGACGGAGGCATTGAATGTCGAGGTCTTGGTCGAAGCTCGATCGGAGCCTCTCAGCATTTATGTGTATACATATATGATAATAGCTTCTCTGTATTCTTGAGAATTTTGTTTCGTGTACTGTAGAAGAATCCTTTACGACGCGACTGACCCAAAATCAATTTTCTTCAAGAGGCACTTTATGCTTTCAAAACAAAAATAACTCAATAAAACGTTTGATTCAAATTTGATCTTTATAGACCAAATGCTCATTAAAACATTAATCAAAAATTTAGCAGAACCAAATATTGAATATATTATATGAGACAATATAATGATTTTTATTTAAATTTACTCTCTTTAGATAATAAACTCTTTAATTAGATACGAGAAGATACGAAATACTACATCTTCAAAAATGTGATTACTCAATATATTCATCATCTTGTTATATTTATTGGATAAAAGTAAATGGTATTTCTTACATGACCCATGATTATGATTTTGATCTTTATTTTTTATCTGGTTCTTTATTCTCTATATATATCTAGACCTTATTTTCCGATTCTTTTCATATTTATTTTTATGCATACTATTAATATTTTTTCAAGTAACTAATTTGACGTTAAATATTGAAGCAACAATAGTTTGCTGCAGTAATTGTTCAAAACAAAAGATATCAACTCTCATATCAAGAGCTTATTTTACTTTACATATTTGCAACAATTATTCAAACAACAATGTAATATTTCATCCATTGCAATCAAATATTCCAGAAAAGGACTCGACATATCATTAATTTAGTGTAAGACGTAAACAGATTATTGTCTTCAATCATCTCACCTTTGAGGAACGAAACAGGTCAGTCGGACCTACGTATGCATGTACGAAAGAATATGGAAGGAGATTAAGAGCGATCATATATTAAATCACGATTTAGGCATATATATGTCACGTGACAAATACCGAAGGACATCGGCTTCGTAACTTTGACTATGGGTCAGGGTCGCAGTCGGAGGCTCTTCCGATACATCGCTTACGCGTTCTCCGGGTCGGTGACCTCGTTTCTTTTTCGACCGGCTACTCCCGGTGAAAGCCGGGAAAAAATTTCAATGCGGTCACACCTTTGTTGGATTTAACTCGGCACTCATGTAGAAAGTTAATTGGATGTGGCGCGCGACGGTTAATTAAGAATCTCCGTTCATAAACTGATGGCGGCGATTTGTTTGATAAGCATCGAGTCGAACGGTTTTGTTCCTGTTACTTCCTTTTTAGTTTTACCCGAAGTTGAATTGAAGACTAAATACATACCGAAATGATATTTGCGATTGATGATAAACTCACATACAATACAAATGTCCAGAAATGTTTAAATTGTAAGCGCACAGTATCGTCTATGTAATAAGAACTAGTGAAAGATAGAAAAATTAAAGTAGACCTACTAAAGATATAGTCAATATATATATAGAACAAATTACAAAAGCAAACTATATATTGTAAAATAATCACAAAATAATCATAAAACAATCACAAAAGCAAATTATTTAAGATAGAATCTAGGAATAGATGATCTGCCAATGACAAAAAGAAAAGCGCTTTAAAATAAAATAAAAAAAGACATTTGCAGAGTATGCCATTGGATCAAATCTTTTCGTTTAGTTATCAACTACTTTTTTTATCAACTACTAGTTAGTTACTAACTACTAATTTTACTATCTACTTGGAGGGTATAAAGGTACGGGAGGGACGTACATTAAGGAACATGGATGAAGGACGAATGGAAGAATGTCGTGCTACTGTCCAGGTACACGTTGTTGCAGTCGATTGTCCAAAACCGTCCACCAAACACGCGATCATCTCTACTGGCAGAGAATACAGCTGAAGCGACAGTAGGTATGAGCAGCTATATGATGGTCGAGAAACGAGTGACAAGAAAAAAAGCGAGTAAGGTCGAATTGATACAAGATATCAGGAAAAGAGAAATGTGCCGCTATCTATCGAATGAATTTAAATAACCAGACGGGTTACTTCACGTCACGTCACGTCACAAGAAGACGGAGAACACGCCCTTTCCTCAGCCGGAGATCGAGATCGATAATAATTTCATCGAGAAAATATAAATTTCGATACGCGAAAGCAACTCTACGTTCATCCGCGACAGTCATTCGATTTTCCCCGCGTTTGTGGTATCGAAAGTTGATCTGAATCGAAATTATCCTAATCTCTCTTCAGTCTTGAGCGAAAGAGATTCGCGATTTGAAATTTGCCGAAGGAAGGAAAACAGAGAGAATTCATCCTCCTGGATCACGCGAATCGCGAGTGTATCTGGACACAAACGACTGATTCGATGCAACTGGACAATGGTGAATGAAATAAATAAAAGGTACACATAGCTTTGTAAAAATAATAAATTATTTGTATTTTGCAATCCAGAACGGACAATGTCTCTGTACAAGTCTTGGTCTAGAGTATAGAAACATCGTAAACAAACATATCTCTCGATTCGCGCGGAGCAATTGACATCGTCATTGACTGTGCTTAATCTGGCAAGTGATAGGCAACCATCACTTAATAGAAATGTAATATAAAATATAAATTTATGTATAATATAAAACAATTTTTAAGATAATATATATATATATATATATATTTACACTAAAGGACATTGATAGGAGGTTTGACTCACCTGCCAGATTAAACATCTTATTGCTAATTCGACAGAGCAGAGACAGGACGAGATCAATTTCTCGTTCTGCTTTTTTTTCTTAATGTGGACGATTTCGATGTCTCTTGATCCTATAAACGAGACTATATGATATTTCTAGATTTCTCTTTCCCTCTTTCTCTCTCATGCACGCGCATTCCCCATCCGTTCTCTTCCTTTCCAGTTTTCTCTCTTTCTTTTTTTATCACATTTTTTATCTCATTCGACTGATAGCAAGATGGATCATGAATGTTGGAAAAAGGAAGGAAACACGTGACGTGAGGTCACCAAACCAAAGGATTTCAATGCTACTCCATGCAACACGAGGATTTAGAAGATACTAAAAGGTACTAAAAGACGCAATCTAAAAAGTTTCTGAAAAAATCTAAACGCCTAAAAAATTAGCACGTATCTTAGACAAAATATATTCAAGAAATGAATTTAAAAGATCAGAGAGAAACCAAAGGACTATAAAGAGGCCAGACGTGTCAGTCTATGGTGCGATGCAACGTGAGATAGAACTTTAAATAGAGATATTCCCGTTAATAAATATAATAAATAACTAACGCTTGTAATAATTTAAAGTGAAATGATTGTTTAGTGTACAAAACTGAAATAGCAGAAAATTTCTGTTCGCGCGAAATTTGTTAGCGCTGACTTTTTGTTATTCAATAAATTATTGAGAAAAAAATTCCTCAATCCGATCGAGAAACTGTCACGTAGATATAATGTAAAAAATTCCTTTTCGTTCTTCTTTCTTTTTTTCATCACAAATTAAAAGATTTGTTGTGAATATTTACGTTAAAAGAAGGAATTGTATAAATTAAATTGCATAAATTAACAAAATTGAAGAAAAATAATATACACATGAATTACACAAATAAATATTGTAGATTTATTTACTAATAAAATAATCTCGATACTAGAAATTTATTAAATTTCTAAACACATAAATAATAATTTTTTCACAATGTTTAATTTAAATCGATTTGAAAAATTAAAATTAATATCAATTTACAATAAATATTAAAATTAATATTTATATTACTCATTGCTATGTGCAAAATATAAAAAGATAACAAAATATGTTTTAAATTTTAAAAAAGCAATATCAAAACGGGAGGCAAGATCAATCAGTACGTATAGTACTCTCTTGCATTTTTGTAGAGCTTCGTTTCATTCACAATTTTGTTCTTAAAAATCTCACAAAGGCGCGATCGTTACGTTTACAAGAGAAAACATGCTTTCGAAGGAGATATGCAAATGAAACGAAATGAATAAAATAAATTCCGTTTCACGAGCGAGCTTCGCGATCGGGCGTCATCCTAATAATCGACAAACTCGCAAGACTGACATGAAAACGTTCGATGGAATCGATCAGCTGACAGATCAACGATGTGTAACAACTTTTACGAAACTTCTAAGAAATTTCCGTAGAAATTTGCCAAAAGTCAAATGACTCGGCGGCAAAGACAACGCGTGAGGTCAAAGGATCACGTTGCATTTATCACCCGATTTTCACAGTAACTCGGTCTAAAGGCTCTTCAATGCGGAGATGGAAGAAGAAGAAGAAGAAGAAGAAGAAGAAGAGGGTGAAGAAGAGGAAGAGATTGACCGTACTATCGATTTGCCCGACTTGCGAGGGTGTTTGACGCTATGTTTCTTGGCCTTCTTGCCCTTGAACTCACGTGCATGCCTAGCGTCGGCGATGTCGGCGATATCATCCACGTCGTCGTCGTCATCATCATCGTCATCATCATCATCATCATCGTCATCGTCGTCGTCGTCATCATCGTCCGTGATGTCTAGATCTACATCGTCGTCGTCGTCATCATCGTCATCATCATCGTCCTCGTCGCTGGTCGGAGCAGCCGCTGCAACGCTGGGAACGGCCTGGATTGATACCGGGTTCGAGACGGACTCGGCACCTTCGAACGTCGTCTCGTGAATGTTGGATGCAGCCTGGTTCTCAGCAGCGTCACCCGCCTCATCCTCGTAGCTGCTGGCATCGTCCTCGGCCGTTTCACTTGACGCGGCATCCTCCGCAGCTTCCTCACTGGCCTGATTCAAATCAGCCGCCACGGCAAGCGGCACCTGCGGCGAATTGACGGGGGTGGGTGGAGGTGTCACGGCGGATGGAACAGCTGCCGGTGAAGCTTCATCCTCGTCGTCATCATCGTCGTCTTCCTCTCCTGTAAGTTGACAGAGGTACATTATAGATGAAAATATTTTTTTTTATTAACAGTGATATTAATAGGTCGAGCGAAAATAATATTCTTTATCGAGAACAATTTTCCGGAGTTAATAAAAAATGCAATAAGTGCTGAGAAAAAACGTACAACTTCATTAAAACATTGCAAAACTATACTACAAAGTGCACGGGTAACAATTAATTTTATTATCTCTTACAAGTTCACGCATTCGTGATTTTAACGTACTCTGCATAAGAGACAGCCGGGGAATCGAGAGAACTCAGATTATCTTTTGGTATTCAGGTCAATGCGAAGAAGTAGCGCGTAGAAATTTTTTTTCAGAACCGAGATCGCTGTCGATTTATGTTAATTTGGACGAGTCAAAGTACCCTGTACCGTTACTACGCGCGAGCATATGTGAGCAAGAAAGAGAGATTCTCAGGCAATACGATGCTTCGCGTTTACATAACGGTTTGTGTCAGTTTGCAAGATTTTCTATTGTTTGAGATTCGAAGAAAAGAAAGAATCGATTCATTGTTCAGCTCTCAGAAACAAGTTATTACAGTTTAGATGTGATTTATTGTTCAATACAGGAGAAATCAAACTGTTTATAAATACATTATTGAGACAACTAGATAATTGCATAGTCACCTAAAAGGTTGCAACATTTTTTTTAAATGGGTTTCGGAATGCAGCATACTCATCAAGCGATCGGTTCTTATTTGTTCATCCATGAATAAGAACCAATCGCTCGATGAGCAAGTTGTATTACGAAACCTATCGAAAAAAGTGTCGCTATCTTGACTATACATTTAGGAAAATTTTACCAAATATTTATTTAATATCAAGTTTTTGTTATTTTTTGTTATCTTCTTATATCTTCCGTTTTTTTATGTATATAAGAGCTTTGATAATTTATTTAGCAAAACTGCTATTTGAATTTTAAGTTTATGTAACGGTAGGCTTATTAATGAACATATTAATTAAGTAAGAAGTACTGCCAGATTAAGAGAATATCTATATTTACGAATCTTCAACTTCCCACTTTGAATTTACTTCGCTCGATATTTCTTTATCTTCAATTATTTAAGCCATAAATCTACTCTCTTTTCGAATGCATTCTTTACTTTTTTGTTAAGATCATTCAATTAGAAAAATATTGCGACTAGTATTGAAGAACAATGCAGTCGTGATTCCTCACCTCCAAGTATGTCTTCAATAAAACGCTCCAAATAATCGCCGTCATCATCGTCGTCGTCGTCGTCGTCGTCATCGTCGTCGTCATCATCATCGTCGTCATCATCATCGGTGATATCTATGTCGACGTCGTCGTCATCGTCGTCGTCGTCGTCATCATCATCGTCGGTGGCGGCTGGCGCCGCGGGCGCTTGCCTGCCGGTCGCGACAACATTCTGTGTCGACACCTTGCTGTCAGCAATCTTAGGCACCGGCGAGGCGAGTGCCCCTATCGCCAGACAGCACAGCAACGTCAGCACTGCTGCTAGTCTCATGGCTCTGCAAAAAAAAAGTAGACGAAGGAAACGGAATTACTTAACATTTTTAGCGAACAGAAGTTATTTATAAATGTTAAGTGAAAAATAAATAAGGAAAAGTACACTGGCAATGAGAGTCAAGCGCGGTAATTGTGGAGCGCAACAAAATTATCATTTATTAATCAATAAATAACAAACGTTTCGGCATCATTCCGAGTCATCACCAGTCGATACGTTACTTGTATATGTGACTATTGTCTCAAGCTTCACTTAAGTATGATCATCTTTTTCAACATTTAGAATTGAAAATAACGCAAAATAAAAATTGCACGATGGATTTTCGCGCAAATAAAATTTAAAAACTAGATATTTTCATTTACATTTTTATTTACACAAAAATCACTTCTATCCAGCTCTTAAATACCAGACAGCTGTTTTTAGAAACGATGATACTAGATGGAATTGATTAGATCCTATAATTTTCTCTTTTTTTTTTGTAATAATCCTTTTGTCTATTTATTAAATAAACGCAAAAAGTGCGATCGATCTGGGATATCCTATCGAGCCCAAACGTTACTCAAAGTAACCGAGAAATTGACAGGAGGACGTCGGCGATGATAATTCGCTCGTGTTACCCGTTATGGACGACACGTGCGACTCGTTAGAACGTTATTCTAGGCATGATAAGTGCAGGATACGGTAACCCGGGCTATATACAAGTTAACCGTAAGGAATCGTGTCTTTTTCTGCCAATAGAAGAGATACTTGACGTGCTCAGACCGGCGATCAATCGCGCGGCGGGTCGCCCGATCGCGGGATAGACAGTTCCCATAGTGGCTGAGTTCCATAAAGCGCATGATGCGCATGATGTGTCATTTTATCCTACAAATAAGGATAATACATTATGCTCTTTACGGAACGCAGCCAGTATCCCATAACATTCCTGTGCGTATGTTTTCAACTTTCGGAGCACGAGCACGCGAAACGTCGCGAGACGAGATTTTTACGAGCTGCATTACAATACACCGGATGTCTTGATTCTAAGGGAATAGTATTACGGATAGAATAACAACAGTAGTTGACGACATCTTCGTGTATCTTTTTACAATCATTTCACGATCAAATATGGAAAGAAGGATTGGAAGAAGGGAGAGATTGAAATAAGACGTAAGTGAAGAATATTATGATGCGCGTCGACAAAGAATACAAAGTTACGAACAATGCAGAAATCAATTCTTTACGAAATATTAACATAAAAGATTTATCTTATCGCGATTTATAAATGATCCTTTTTGCAAAAATTGTAAGACATTGACGTCGATAAAAATATATGTGAAGAGAATTTTTAAAAACTGTTACATAAAAGGATAATTGAACTGGAAGTTAAGTAAACGTTTCCCCTTTTTAACAAACTATTAATAATAAATTAATGGGAAATAAATGAATAAAAAATTATTAAGAAAATGGATCATAAATGCACCTTTAATTTCTATTAGAAATAAAAAAAATCTTTTTTCCTACAAATTCTTTAATTGAAAGTAGTATATAAATAATTTTTTCGTTATAATATTTTCAGTTTTAAAAAGAGTAATCGAATAATTTTCTATTACCTTTCATTAAAAAAGGTAAAAAAGCCTTACGTTAGCTTCATACAGACTTCGCGAGCCGATAGCAACTGCGTCGGTACCCGGAAGTAACCCTGCGACGAGTTGGGATCAGAAGAGACTCAACCGGATGAGGAACCAAGAACCAAGTTCACACGAATCCTTCGGACGCGAATACGTCACACGAAGAATACCGGCTAGCTCACTGTATTAGCGACGCACACAGTATCACTTAGCCCTCAGGGAAATGTTGCCTTCGATTAACTCGATCGAGCGGCGGAAGAACGAGGAAGAGGATGGGGCACCAACGCGGAGTCGGTCAAGGTCGTTCGAAGATCCAACTACCGGAAATTGTTCTCCATTCCGATTCAGTTCGACGACTTCTGAAGGGTGGTAAGCACTTTGTTCTCCACTTTGCTGTATCCAGTATCCCTTGGGAACTCACCTCTCTATCTTTCTTCCTCTCTCTTTGTCTCTACTCTCCTTTTCTACGTCTTCTCGAGGTAGACGATTAACGATCGACGATGACACGCGTATACGTCCCGGTTCTTCCACCGATCGATCCACCGAGCGGTCCGGTGAGAGTGTTAAAACAGACGAGGCGGTCACGATGCGATCCTTTTATACCGATCCGTACCTCCACCTCTTACGTACTCCTTCGTCGTCCTCCTTCTCGTCGTCGTCGTGTTCTTCCTGCGTTCATTCGCACCATACCTCACCTACCTACCTACCTTCTGTTTTCCACGTGGCTCGATCGAGCGTTTTCTCCCTTTCTGAGACATGCGTGAGCAAATTTATACACATAAGTATTTTACACTAGTCAAAATCATTATAAATCTTACAGTATCGCCATTCACCTATATAGCACCGAAAGTTTTCAGATATATCTCAAATATATTTCAACTGAAATGTGAAACATTTCATAAAAATTGCGATATACGTCTGCAACATTTCTGAGACAACTCTGGAATAGCAAAATGTCCGCGATTCTTGCACATGAAACCTTGTTGAAAAGTTGAAGAAATATTATAGAAAGAATCTGCAATCGTTTCGAAATATTATCAAAAAGGTGTCAGTTATTTTTAGTACTAAAAATGATATTTAAATATACATATATTTGATTTAAATATTGTTTAAGTATCAATTAAACATACCTATATTTAAATATCATTTCTGAAGTACTTAAAATTTGTTAAGAGTTTTGAAATCTGTTTACAGAATTCAAAAAACTTATTGAAATAAACTTAAAATATTTCTCAAACGTTAGTGATTATATTGCCAACTATTTTGATTAATTAATCACATTATATTTATAAGCACATATACATAATCATTATTAAAAAATCACAGCGTTGACTCCTATTGCCTGTACTGTATGTTTTATGTTTTTTTCTAAATTGTTTTAATTGAAGGAGTCTATAAAAACTTATTAGGTTTTTGTTAATTTGTAATTTATTATTAAAAAATCACAGCTGCAGTTTCCACACGATATTATTATTCATATACAAAAGTTTTTCGCAATTAAAACAGAAACAAGTCATTCATATACAAAAGATTTTCGCAATTAAAGTAGAACAAGTCACAACATCAAAATAACGTTAAACTGAATCGTGATTGATAAAAAAAATAACTTTTAGTAAACATTTTGGAGCCATTTTAACATCATGATGCTTTTTTATTCTGTTTAAATATGTTTTTCAATTTATTGCGTATGATAGATTTTACAAACATTTCTGTTAAAACATTTCATATAATATATTGTAGAATGCCTTCAGAATTGTTGCATATGAGATGTGAAAAATTGAAACATTTCTGAAAATATTTCACAATAATCGGTATTGTATGGGTATCTACAAAAGAAAAAAAAAGACAGAGACAGAGAGAGAGAGAGAGAGAGAGAGAGAGAGAGAAGAGAAATACACAGGGAGCTCTTTATGTAAATTTTCTTTTATTATGATATATGTGTTTCTCACTAACTCCTACTTTCCATAATATCCATTATATATATCTGATTTTATCCTATTTTTTATATGATTGTTATTTCTCTCATCATAAGTCAAACTTTATTCTATATATTTTAAAATATATTCTAGACACTTATACACATCGAATTCTTTTTTATAAATAATTTAACTAATGTAAGTCAAATATCATAGTAAATAAGTCTTACAGTAAAGCTAGCATTACACTGAAAAAAGAAGTGTTTAATCTTCAAATATCAAAATGTTTTGTTCTTGTCTCCATTTTTTAAACACTTAAAAATGTTTTAGTTTTAAACTTTTTCCATAAACAAAACACTATGTATTTGGATTTAAAATATTTAGGCCTATATTCTGAATCCTCTTTTATCGATAAAGATGCTTTTAAGCTTTACTATAATACTTATTTACTGTGATATTTGACTTCATTTTTGAGTGCAGCTATGTTATTTTAGTGATAAAAAAGAGGTACTCTTCAGTCTTTAAAAAGTTTTAATATTTTAATGTTTCAAAACTTTTAGAATTTTTAAGAGTTTTTAAAATTGTTTTTAAATTTTCTGGTTTTCTCTCAAGATTATGTGAGTGGTCATTATTTGAAGTAAAATTCTGCGATAACTATAATTACATGAGAACATATTGAGGGAAAGAGTTTTAAATGCTGTGCTCTTAAAACAGATCTGAGATAAATCAAGCTCGCATTAAAAGATCATTGTCACTCTCGTTCCTTCTGGCGAAATGTTTTAATACTTCATTTGATGACGCTGCTTATTCGATGTACTACTTTCGTGATAAATAATACATTACTCAAACCGACATTGGATGTTTCGATCTTGAAGAGGCTAATTAGCAACAGTTGCTTCGCATATGGATGATTGGCGTTGTTTAATGCGAACGATCGCAAATATAAAATGATTACACTGATTAATTGAACAATCGTATTTTGTGTGTCGGACATATCCATTGAAAAAGACTTTCTTATGATGATTTGAATAAGTGTTCAATGTCTAAGTTGGCAATCTAGAAATACAAGTCGAGTACTTTCTGTGATGACTAGCAACGAAAATAAGATGGACAATTAACTTAAAGAGCGTATGTTAAAAATGTTAAAATTTATATTTTTCAAGAAATAATATTTATAAAAAATATTAATTACATGATTATAATAATTTTTTTTATTCTGTTTTGTCCAGATTTATAATTACTTGTCTCGATTAGTTACCTATGCTTTCTATATCCCTTAATAAGATAAACTTCACACATAAACTAATAAATCCATCCAACGATGTAAAACAGAGAGCGAGAGTAGATTCGTAAACTCTTCTCTTCTTTGAGAAGATTTCATTTGCTGCTAAAGCTTTAATCTGCATATATTTAATATTCATGATCTATATAATTTCAATATAAATTTTTTAGAAAGTAATCTAAAATCTAAATCTCTTGAAAAAATAAGACTACTAAACCATAGACATTTATAACTATCAGGATCACGTCTGCTTATATCTCGTAAAATGTCTGATTATCCGTATCTTTTATTGTATTATACTTTTGCTAAAAATCCTTTTTAAATTACTAAAAAATTTTCATATTTTTTTGTCAATATTTTTTACAAATCTAACGCGTGAATACAAAAATAGTGTTCGATCGATTTCCAATGATGCGTTTTTTGTTAATCGGACAATAATCAACATATTCAGCTATATTATAAAAAAAACCTTGATCCTGACTAACGTTAAGGACTAAAACGAGAATCACAGAAATGAAACGTTCGCCTCGAGAACGAGGAGCGAAAGCAACGCGCTCGATCGTCATCGGACCGGTCGATCGTCTAACTGTAAATACCGAGCAACTTCTTCCTGCGGATGGCATAGTAGTAGCTACTGATGGATCGATCATATACCGTCAGCATCCGCTCTGTCTAATGCCCGAAGCGACGACGCTGGATTTTTATACGACACATACCCGTTTGTGGAACGCTGGACGATTTCACGCCTCGAGACAGTCGAGATTACTCCCGATGCTCTTTGTAGATCTACTACAGATGGTTTTTCTCGTTCTTCTTGGAGTGTTTATCATATTATATTTCGTTTGCCGATTGGAAATATTCCGATAACTCTCAATGATGGACATTTACAGAAAAAAAATTTTATCAGGATATACAAGAAAACCTATTTTCCTTCATTTAATTCTTCATTTGATAGTCTTTGTTAATACTGAACGATATCTCATGTCTATTATCATCATGATAAGTGATGAGAATCTATAAAAGTCAGACAATAATAGAGCGCGATTGCATTTGAACAACATAGATCGATCTACGAGACAAACAATAATGATGTCCGATAAACTCACAATCAGGTTAATTGTGATGGCTTCGCACATCGAATGACATCGATTAGCTGCAATAAGATTAATTTCAAGATCATTATATTGTTGTAACTATGACACTGTAATTGTTCCTTTCATACATTTTTAAACTACTTTTGACATTTAAGCAATCTCAAAAAACGGCTGCATATATCGCTCAATATTATAATACATTTTTATTATATATTATGTACGTTTATTAACCCTTACTCAGTATTCCGAAATTTTCTTAAGTGATATTTATATGATGTAAACTTTAATTAATATGTCTTTGCTTCAAGTTAACATAATTAAATAAATTATTTCATTTGGTAGGTCAAAATCGAAAGAATGATTATCGTAATTTATATATAATATTATGTAGGTCATAAAAAATATTTGTTACATGTAAACCATTTTTTATAATAATGTAATTGAAAAAAATGTTTGCATTTATTGGACCCGTCAATACCGATTAAGATTAGCTACCCTTTTTTGAGTAAATCGTTGTATTTATATAAATATCTCAATAAAAATACAGGACTCTCAATATCAAATAATAAATGAATAGAGAGTTCAAAGGTCGAATGAGATTCAATGTATAAAAACTTTTTTTTTTTAAATAACGAGTATAATTACTTATTACGACCACATAATTGTACAAAAATGCAGTAAGTAATTTTGTGCGTTTTATATATTATAACTTTTTTACTTTTGTATATTTGAGGAAAGCTCAACTCGACAACCAAAACATGTAATGTAATGCGTTCTCATTAAGTATTTATTCGTAAGAAAATATATACAACAAATTTTTCATTTTTGTACAATTATGTAATTATAATAAGTAATTATACTCGTTATTTAAAAAAAGAATAAGTTTTTATACATTGGCACTTGCCCTTTGAACTCTCTATTTGTTTATTATATAAATATCTCACTGATAGTTATACAATTAAAATTTAAAGTAAATCCAAAGCCAGATATTTATTGATATTTGAAAGTATTTTCCTCCGAGTACAATTTTGATAATAAAAATCAAATTGAGAATACATTCAATGAAAGACTTCTATTATTATAAACTGATATCAGAAGAAAAAAAGATGCTCTGATCTGAATTAATTTCAAAATATATATCGACAACCATTTGAAATTTAAAAAAACTATTAAAAGAGTTTCGATTCTTTTTTATTATTGTACATGTATTAAATGTACAGTAATAGAGATAAAAATCTTCTGCATATTAACAAATTTTTGCCAAGGCGAAAGCATATCTGAATCATCTAGCACGAAATCCGCCATCAAGATATTTCCCAGATAGTAGTGGGCGCGTGAGCAGCGACGTTAAGATCCAGTGCAAATTGCTCGTTCGCGTGGATCATCGAGCTCTCAGACTCGTCGACTCTCCATTCTGGCTGGAATATGGGATTTGGTGTCACAACGAGGCAGAGAAGTAGTCCGCGGCTACGTGAATTAGTAATCAGGATGTGTGTCTCGCGCGAGTGGCAAACGCATTTTCGTATACGCACGCCCGCAAAGAGGTGGCGGAGAACTGGGAAGTGAGACAAGTGAGAGAGTGTGAGAACAGAGAGAGAGAGAGAAAGAGAAAGAAAAGATAAAATAAAGAACGAAGTGACGGTACGATTCACACACGCATTCCTCGCACTGTTGTCGTGCCGCAGGAACGCCATTCATTATTCATTGATACGCGCGCAAGGATTGCAAACAGATATTCGAATTGCTGTACTCCGAATTCTTCGATTGGAAAAATCAAATTTCCACATCTAGCCTGGTTATATACGCTAATTAAGAATTATCCCTGTATAATAAATAATAAATCCATATATTTCCCTTGTACTTAAATAATTAACATGAGTTACATTTGTTCTTACAAATTTTATTGGAACAAGATCTGCAAACCACACAAGCTTCTTAAAATAGGTAATTCAAATACATTCATCCTAAAACCATCAAATTTTATTCACGGTTTATTAGTGCAGTGTAGTTTGCTCGCACTTTTGTTGTACATGAAAGGCTAAGTAAGGCCTATATTGCTATTCACATTTTCTTATGGCTTTAAAAATTTTGTCGGAATTTATTTTTTCATTATTTGTACAACATCCTCATCATGCATCACATGTTGTAGTCCTACTCGTTGAGGTGAATATTTCGTACTTGTGCCCTAAAAAAAATAATATATAACATATACACACACACACGCACGCACGCACGCACGCACGCGCGCGCGCGCGTATTTAGAAACTCTATATTGTATTCTTAATTATATTGTTAATTATATCAAAATATAGTATATTGATATGCATACATAAAATTATGGATAATTAGTAACTTACCCACACAAGGGCATATTTAAATTGTTGGGCAAGAGTACGGTGAATTGCATGACACACATGCTCTACTGTCACTCCTTTCCTTAATATTAAACCATCATCAAAATCAGGTGGTTGTCCAGGTTTTTTTGTGTATACCCTTATCAAAGATAAGTATTCCCATAATATTTCCAGCAGAAAGTCTAGATTCAACTTCATATTACAACTGAAAAAAAATTATAAATAGTAAAAGATACTAAAAAAAAAATACAAAGTGTAAAAAAGAACAAAATATTTTTTAATGTTTTTTAATCTTACCTAACTACAACACTATTAGGTTGCCTAGCGATTCGATCGACTTCTTCTATCGATATTTGATCTATCTTATTATATACATAAAGACATGGCAAGTATACTCGATTTGCATTGATAACATCGATCAATTCATCTGCACTGTAGTCCTCACGAAATAGCACCTCGGCATTGAAGATTTTATATTCATGTAGAATCATTTGAACTAATTTTTCATCTACTTTTGTCAAAGGACACGTTGAGTTAAAAGCTAAGCCACCACCTTTCTTCACTTTAAAATATATATTCGGCTTTTTCTTATTGAGTCTTATCCCAACTGATTCCAATTCTTTTTCTAACAACTGCCGTTGAACGTCTTGTTTGGTTGCATCTAACATCATAAGTACCAAATCCGCCGTTCTAGCGACAGATATAACTTGCCTCCCTCGTCCCTTCCCCTATTCAAAAACACAATTCAAAAAGATTATTTGACATTAGGTCTGTTTTCTGTGGCTGAACCAGTATATACTTTTGGAGCTTAAAGTGAAATAGGTTTTGATATTTGTCACATTTGATATTTGTCGAAAGCGAGAAAGAGACTTTTAGTGCAGTCTAGTGCAGGAACAGAAAACGAACCAATAGTAATATGTAAGCAATGATTTTGTAAAAGATAATTATGATAGTCTGTATAATGTACCTGTGCCGCTCCTTCGATTATACCGGGTAAATCTAGCAATTGTATATTGGCACCTTTGTACTCTATAACACCAGGGATACATGTTAGGGTAGTAAATTCATAAGATGCGGCTTCCGATTGGGTGGCAGTCAAAGTACTGAGGAGGGTTGATTTGCCAACCGATGGGAAGCCAATTAACGCAACTCTGGCATCGCCTGATTTCAGCACATCGAAACCTTCGCCCTTCTCAGATTTTTTCGCCGGTTCTAAAAGCTGGGATCTATACTTGGCGAGTTTCGCTTTAAGTAAACCCAGATGGTACTCGGTAGCTGCAATTAAATTTCATGTTACATTTAATTCTCTTATCTCTTCGTATCTTTTCATTTAAGTTACGTGTCACAGACGCGATAATATTGAGAAACAAATCGGAAAGGTTAAGGGAGCAACGTGACAACGTCGGCCCAGTATTCACCTTTGTTCTTCTGCGTACGAGCAATCTCCTTCTCAATTTCTGAGATCTTTTCTAATATACCCATCGCGATGTTAAAACTCGTTCACGACAGTATTTATTACATTTACTGGGGAATCAACAAATTGCTCCGACTAGCGCGTGCAGCGATAATAATTTTCAGTGACAACTGGTGACAATTGAATTGACACTTTGACAGTAACAACAGCGCCGATCACATGACTAAAGTTTAAGAGCCTGCGCACAATAGGGTCAGTCTCACCAGAGAGAAACCTGAGAGAGGCCATGGCGGCCTTTTTCGCGTGATAGGCGAAAGCCGTACGCTAGCGGCATTTTTATAAAATGATGTAAACTACGTATCACATTTTCGACACTGTCGATAAAATCGTAGTGTCGATACATGGATTTGGTGCTAAATCCACAAATATAATATTAATTTACAAAAAAATGTTTTTTTAATCGGATAAGGCGTTTTTTATAGATTTTTGGATGCTGAAAACGATGCCGTGAGTTAAATTTCACTAGCACATCAGGTTATCGAAATAATTGAGGTTTAATATGCAAAAATGACTCTTTTGTGATATTTAAAATGTTTTTGTTAGAAAAGATTAACTTTATCTTGAAATTATAATCAGAAGTCATAAATATATTGTTTATCTTCCACAAAATGTATTTCTTTTATTTCGATATTTTACTTTTTACGTCACGTTAGGGCCTGCGCACAATAGAGGAACAAGAATTAGATATTAAGATTTCAACCTATCAAAAATCGTGATTTGATGCTAAATCCACAAATATAATATTAATTTACAAAAAAATGTTTTTTTAATCGGATAAGGCGTTTTTTATAGATTTTTGGATGCTGAAAACGATGCCGTGAGTTAAATTTAAAGGATTCAAGTACATATATTGAACTTGAACTTGAACGCGCTCAGTATGATAGATTTCCTAACCTCATCAACTTTAATGCTCAATATCTCGGATCACAAGGCAGAGCGACGCTTTTTTTACCAGATTCTTTCACGTGGACCGCAGCCATATTGAACTTGAACTTGAACGCGCTCAGTATGATAGATTTCCTAACCTCATCAACTTTAATGCTCAATATCTCGGATCACAAGGCAGAGCGACGCTTTTTTTACCAGATTCTTTCGTTTTATTAAAAAACCGCTTCGAATAAGCTTAATTTCATTGATTTTTATAAACTAAATGGCTGCGTTTAGCAGACTCATGCCCATTTCCACCAATGTAGATTAACTTTAATCTCGGTTCAACTTACTCTTTGTCTTTTTTTAATATTTAGAATTAGAAAAAGACGAAGAGTAAGGACCTGCGCACAATAGAGGAACAAGAATTAGATATTAAGATTTCAACCTATCAGAAACCGTGTATTCCGATGTAATCAGTTTCTGATAGGTTGAAATCTTAATATCTAATTCCTGTTCCTCTATTGTGTTCAGGCCCTAAGTTGAACCGAGACTAAAGTTAATTTATATTGGTGGAAACTGGAAACGGGCATCAACAGTTTTTCAATCGTTTTGTGTTTCTTCGCTGAGAGAGGACTATTCCTTTAAATCTAAAAATATAATCCAATCAGCGCGACGAATCATAAAATAGTTGCAAAACTGCTGAGTTTGCTGAACGCAGCCATTGATAAAAAGAGCTCTCGAAAGCTCTTAAAAGGGCGGGAAGCCGTGATCATGTCGTGCGAACATGTCATTGATGCCATTGTGACCCAGAGACGAGCAAAATATATATAAATATTTTATTCAAAATTGCAACGCGAAAGTAATTTTCATGAGTTTAATCGTTTATTATTAATGAAGAAGTCTTCGACACTGTGCATACTTGATACGTTCGTCAGATATCCGTTCCAGATTGTTTTATTCTCAACATCCGTTAGTTTTTCGTTGGAATATTTCCATTGCTTTTCGAGAAATTTTGAGGAAATCGAAGAAGAGAAAAGCGATGTACTACGTTCTTAACGGAACGAGAGACCGCAAATAAAACAGAAAAAAAGGATATTGATGTCAAAGTATGAAAGATATCAAGCAATACTTTGCCAATGGCAAGAATATCGTTGATAAGGAGACTGATACTGATCTAGGCAATGTAAAAAAGGATCAAGAACAAGAAGATATTGCAACAAATAAACACAAATGTGTGAGGATCCAGATATCCAGCAATGGTTCTTCTAGCAAAATGTGCGACATCGAGAACAAGAAAGATCTAATCGACAAAACACCCAGTCCATTCAATGGTGAGATAAACAACGGTGAAAGAACTTTGCAAGATGAAACACCAAAATCAGGTTTAACCGAGTCAGGCATAAAGCGTCGTCTTAAGAAGGTATTTTTTATTTTAATAAGAATTACAGTTGATATCAGTTTATTGATAAATTGCTACAGTTGGATTTTTCTTATTTTTAAGCATTCAAAATTCACTGTGGAAATAAACAGAAATCAGTCTGAAGTAACAAGAAATATCTCGCAAGAACAAAAATTAAATAATCAGATTGTTATGAATTTAAACGGTTCTCTTAATGACAATGTTAATTCTGAAGATGAAACTAAGTCAAATATAGAACTTTGCGATGAAATTGGTTCTCAGCGGAAAGAATCAAATGCTTTTCAGGTTCTGATGAATCATAGTAAACCAATACAATATAAATCACCGCAGCAATCCATAGAAGACAGTGAAAATAAAGAGAAATCAGATTCAAAAGAATTCAGATCTAGGTGCAAAGAGAAGCTCATAGCTTTGGCTGATAAAAAAGGATATTCAAGAAAAAAAATAGCTGAAATGGAAGAGGGTGAGAAAATAGAAAAGAATATTGAAAATCGTATAAGGTTCTTTAAGGGCGAGAGTAAAAGCAACACACATGAAAAAGATAGCTTTGAATTGTCGATAAAAACTAACAAACAATCTGGAAACTTACTAGATTATTTTAGGTAATATCTAAATTTATATTTACCTCTAATTTTATATAATATAACTTATATTGTTAGATTTCACTACTGATTTTTTTATCATATAGCAAATCACCCTTGGGGTTAACAAATAAGGATGAAAAATGTGTGTCTACTTTTACTGTAAAAGCAGATGTACATAGGACTGATAACTCTGATGTGTGTGTTGAACCTATGAGGAAGCTAAAATCAAATAAGAAATATCCTAATAAGAAATGTACGAAGTCAGAATTAGATCTTTCTACAATGGATGATATTCACGTCGTAGAGTCTGAAAATTTACTTTCTCTACAGCCAGTCAAACAAGATAAACAGAAACGAGAAAAACCTCGTTGGTCCTTGCGCATAAAATTACATTCTTCTGAAGATAACGATTCTTTATATGGTAACGTAGTACAATTACCATTATACATATTATATGTATATTTCTTTTGTATATATGTATATATGTGATGTAAAACGTAATTGAGTCTCCCAATATTTATTGGTTGATGGCAATGATTGTTTTTTCACACTTTGATCGCTGATTTTTATACTCTTTCAAATGAGTATCTAGCTTTAATAACACTGTAAAATTAACATTTATAATTTTACTTGCAGATACCGATGACGAATTGTTTTCACCAAGAAGCAAATCAAAGTTTAGTGCTTCGAGTAAATCTGGAAAATCCGTAAATATAGATAATAATGAAGTCTGTACGAAGAATCACAATCGACATCTTAAAATGAAAGAGCGAAACAAGGAAAGAAAAGAATTAATTGTAAAAGATAGCAACATTTCAAACATCGTCAAAGATGCTCCTAATGGAAACACTGATTTTAAAAAATCAAACAGTGCTAATAAAAAAGAACAGAAGATTAATGAAATAAGTGAAACGGTTATAATAATTGATGATTCCGAATACATGATCAGCAATGAGAATATTCTGAAAAGAAAACCGAATGAAAAACTGGCACCTTTATTCATTAAACGACATAAAATAGATCCAGCAGTCACAGCAGCAAGACGTTTATTCCTACAATCGGATATAATCGATGTAGAGAACAAAAATACAGACCATAAAGTAAATAATGGCATACCTGTATTACCATTTCCTGCTATCAGTCATATTACACAATTAGAAGATGAGTCAGACTCGATCAGATCTGAAATAGAACACAAATTTTCGATGAAAATCGAGAAACAATATTTGCCTTCGATAGATATTATTAATTATAAATATATTACTAATTGTAGGGAAGCATCAAAAATGATTAAAACAATTAAAGGACCCGTGAAAGAAAATGTGGAGCAAGTGTTATCAGAAATCAAGAAGCTTTATCCAGATGTTCGGAGAATGTGGGAGACTATATCAACAATTAAGGGGGATTTGGAAAAGAAATCGCCATCTCCAGAAGATAGAAAAACGCGAGCGCATGAACGAAAGAGAATGTTAACAGAGAATATTGAGACCGAGGAAAAGCAATCCCACAATTGCGCATGGACATACAAATATAAACCGATGAGCGCGCAAGAGATAGTTGGAAATGAAGAAGGTGCGAGTAAGCTAAAGGATTGGTTGAGTGGCTGGAGAACATCTTTAACAAAGGAGGACGATGACAGTAGTGGTGATGAGTTTTATTCCTCAGATTGCAGTTCCTCGTTCAACATTGAAAATAATCAGATTGCTGTCTTATTAGGGCCACATGGCAGTGGAAAAAGTGCAAGTGTATATGCGATAGCGGAGGAACTAGGCTACAGGTTGGTAATCATGACTCAAAGAAAATATATACAAAATAATCTTTAAATTATATTAAAATAAATTCAGACACGTTATTTCTTATTCAAAGTAAATTGAAGCTTTTACACGTTAGATTATTCAAAGTAAATTAAAGTTTTGCTTTTACAGCGTAATTGAAGTGAATGCATCTTCCAAACGGACTGGAAAGAGAATCTTAAAAGAATTAGAGGAAGCTACAAAGTCGCATAGAATTAAAAAAAGTAAACATAAATCTCCATTCGAACGAATCACAAATGATGATGAAACCTCAAAGATATCACAAAATTCGTTAATTCTTTTGGAAGATATTGATCTTATTTTTGAAGAGGATGAAGGATTTGTTTCTGCCGCATATCAATTAGCATCGAACACCAAACGACCAATTGTTATGACATGTAGGAACACGTGTCCTCATTTGAACAAAATGGCACCACAACAAAACAAAGTTTACTTTCATAAAGTGAGTGGTAACACAGTGTCTACCTTACTGGAATTAATTGCGCTTGCAGAGACAGGTTACAGGATTCCGCCTAATTGCTTAAGGGTAAGTGATCTTTAAATTATAATATAAAATTTATTCTAAAGAAGTTTTTTTATGAGAAGAGAAATTTGGAAATATATAGAAATCATAATATTTAAAATTTAACTATTCTATTGAAGTTACGCAAGTTATACAATCTTCTTATTATTAAATCAAACAAATAAATTTATTTTTCATTGTTTAGAAATTACTGCAAGAAGGCGACTTAAGACAGGCATTGCTCCAGTTGCAATATTTACTATTGTCAGGTCTACCGGTATTATCACAACAATCAATGATTGCAAAGTCGTTGCTTTGGCAGGACATGCAACGCTATTTATACAAACCTGCGATTAAGCTAAACAAGAGGCATAAAACAAAGAAAACTACAAATACAAAAAACTCTAATGATACATATATATTGAACAATTTAGCGGAAGATTTGGACAGTTTATCTCTAATGTCGTCTTTAATTGATGTCGAAGATACGACATTAGACATGTCAGAGGAGAAAATGCAACCTAATTTATCCTTAGCTGAAAATATGTCTTTCTATTCCACCTTACACGATTTGAACGCGGATATAGCGGATTTTATAAACAGCCAAATACTGTATAAAAACTTTGATGCAAACGAGCATGTGCAAAAAAATCAAAGTAACATTATTTTGAGGAAGCAGTTAAAACAAGGAGTGGATTTAGCGTTATCGCACGTTACATCTATGTGTTTAGATCGACGAATCATGGCGTTAGATTATCTTCCGACTGCGCGAACAATATGCCGCGCAGAAGAATCTCGCTCGAGTATAAATTACAAAAGAGGCAATAGATTTTTCCATTATCTGCACAGTCTAAAAGTGCCGAGCGCGTCGATGAAACCAAATATCTTAGCTGCAGCATGTAAAATGTTACAAGAGGGAGGAAATAAAACTGCATCCGTACAGAAAACCATCACTATTGACTGATACTCAAGAGAGAAACCTATATATATTTTTATACACAACAATTTTGCTGAATTTTAAAATTGCTATAAATTGCAATCAATTCATCGATATTTTAGTTTTGATATGTTATTTATGTTTAATTACAAAATTATGTGTATATAATGTCTTAACACATTTTGTTGCTTGTTGGATATAAAATATATGTAATATTGCTATTTTCTTTGCGATGGTTTTTCTTTCTCTTTAGTAATTAAGTTTATTAAATTTCAAAAATACAAGTATATTGGCATCTGCAAAAAGTTGGATATATAAAAAATTGCATTAAAAATAACTATAGTGACAAAGGAAATGTATGTATTCGCAAAAGTTGATCTTTCACAGGTATATTATATTTTTATCGCATGTTTAGCACTAAAAACAATTTTATTTGCCTACTGTATATAAAAAATCATAAAACACTGAATATAAATGTAGATTTTTGTACATTGCGCATTACACTATACTGCCAAACACGAATTATATACACTTTATTGTAATGGTTTCTGGAATATCTATGACAAGTGTTTCAATAGAAATAAATATTTATTTTTGGAAATTTTATTCCTCTTTTGCGAACGTACTGTCAAGATGGTTAATAATTGTATAATAATATACAGTTAGATTTTTATATGATGCAACTTGCGATTCAATTCTTCAAACTTCAATATTTTGCGAATAAAAAAGTCTCCATAACGATGCGCTACCTTCGTATCGGCGATGTGAATCATGTCATGATCGATATAGAAATCCAACTGAAAGAAAAAGAAACGATTGTCGTGAATATTTTAATTTTTAATTAATAAACTAAATATTAAAGCTCGATTGAGATAAATCAATACAATCAAATAATGTCTATTTAAGCCAACACAGGATGACAAAATGTGAAGATTGGTTTAATTAAATTAACATAATTAATAATCGCAGACGTTTCGATCCTATTTTGGATCCTTATCAACGCTTGTATATAAAACGTTAACAGATTTCAGTCATCTAAGAGTAGTAACGCGATGTCATCGTACTTCCTGGTATATTATACAATAAATTTATTGAGTCGTGGTGAATATTTTAATATGCATCTATTTTTATAATTTCATCAACTTAAATGGTAACAATGGAGAATAAATTAAATGTGAGTTAATTTTGTTTTGATCTATGGCAAGCAAAAATCAAATTTTTTCAAAATATAACTTATATATTTTATTTATAAAGAAAATGAGTTATTGAAAAAAACATGAAATATATAAGAATACTAGATATTTAGATAAGTTTTATAAATTATATTTTTGAATACAAGTAAAAAAAAATATAATAAAACAAATAAAATAATTACTTCGGAACCGGATTGGAATTTTCCGTCTAGTCCTGATGTGCCTTTAGTCCAAACAATATTTTTCATCTTGTGCTTGAAGCATAATAAATGAATTGTTAATGCGTTGACTTCCTTGTCGAGATCCCATCCCTCAATATCGGATCTAGTATTATTTCCCATAAATGTGGCCAATTTACTTAGTGGCAATGTTGTATAGAGTTTCAAATACGAACGAATAGTTGGCAACATTTTTTGTTGGACCACTTCATCCATGAATACTTGGGTTTGATGTTTGATGGCTTCACGGACATAGTCTTCATTAGGATTATCTGGATTCGGTGATGTAAGGGATAGAAATTTGGGACATGCAAACACAAAACAATTTTCAAATTCAGTAAGATCGCCATACTGCATCTTGTACATTTTTTCATGGTAATTCTTATCCCGTAAAGCCTGTTGCAGGCCTTCATCTATACACTGTGGATGTAGAACCAGACATATGGCGAGCAGATGATACATCTGTTCGGTCTGCTTGTTGATCTGATCGTTCTGGTAGCTACGGGTGGCAAATAATTGCTTTGTACGTTGAATGTACAACAGAATACCAGAGAACGTTCTGATTGCATCTGCGTAACGGCGCATCATCATGTATGCAAACCCTACATAGTATGCCGTCGAAATCTGACAACCAGGTACATGAGAATATGCACTTTTCTTGTAGAGTTCCACATTTTCCAAGACCTTGATGGCCTGATAATAATCACCTAATAGAGAATGCAATCTCAGAAGACCGACAAGTGAGAAGTAGCCAAGCATCTTGTACAAGGAATGTCTGCCAAAGGCACCAGCTACAGAATCCGGATCACCGCCGCTCGCATATACTTCCAACTGGCTCTTTATCTTTGACTTGTCAACCAGATAATGCAAGACATTTAATACACATAGAACATCCCAGATTTTATTATGTGCATTCAGATTCTCGATCTCATCTGGTGTCTTATTGGACAGATTGGCACGATACTGAGCAAAAGACTGAAACTGATAGACGAATTCGTCAATGAGTTCCCACAGCCATTGATCGGGTAATTCCAGTTGTACTGGAGTGTCAGGATGCAGAATATAATTGAAAAGATCGCAGTAATTATAGAAGGAGTTAAGACGCTGCTCCAGTGTAGGACCCTGCATGCGTGCATATATGTGACGATAATAAAGCTCCTTGTAGAGAGTGAGAAATACTGCATCATTGTCAACAATGTGAGCAATCGTCGAGGCGTCCGGCCATGGCGACTTATCAAATAGCTGCTCCGAAATCTTAGGAAACGAGTTCTCGTACAAGTTCTGGATCTCAAAGATCATACCCTCGTTGATACAATTGCGCAGAAATACCAAGAAATTGCGCACCACTTCGGGCACTTGCCGGTAGCTAGGTCGATCATACTGATCGTGCACGTCTGGCGGCCCGTAGTCGTCGTAGGCGTCATACTGAAGAGAAATGTGTGTACATTAAATTAGATTGAACACAAATAAAAGCTAAAATTAAGAATACTCTAAGATTTCGACATTGTAAAGTGAAAAATAAGCAAATGTGAATGTGTACCTCGTTATAATCGTCGTACATTTCTGCTGGAAATAAATGTAACAAAAGAGAGAAACGTAACCTCTCCTTGACAAGTACGGCACGGCCACTTCTTCTTCTTCTTCTTCTTATTACTTAATGGCTCCC